TAGAAATGAGTCACTTGGCTGTAGACAGCTGGTAACAGTGAAGACATCTGTACATGGTTCACACCAAGGTGACAGGGGGAAGATAGGTTGATTTCTTTGGACCAAAGAGGAGAGCATTCACATCAGCCTGGCTCGTGGGTGATGACTTGTTCATATGGACAAATCCTGGCTACGTTATTCATACTGGAAGTGACATCAAGCTTACTTACATGAGCAAACAAACGGAATACACTGGTAGATAAAAGAAGGATTATTTGCTTTATGACTCAGGCCCAGGGTTTGCCAACTGTGAAAGAAATGGGAGTGTACACAGATTTTTTTTTCAATTTGTGTAAAAGAGAGAGAAGAGAGCGGAGCCTTCCTGCCTGTGTGAACTAGACAGATCCTGGCTCTGCTAGGCTGACATTATATGTTTTCTCCCTCAAAACAGCTTCATATTTTAATCACTGGCCTCTTGGCTGTTTTCCACCCTTCATAGAAAACTACAAAGCACATTAACTTTGTCCTGTATTTCTGTTTTAATTTTACTTTTGATTTTTAATTGAAATAAACCCCTTAGTTTCCCAGCCACTTGCACCTACAGTCTGCAGAAGGAAGGTTGCTAGGAACGCTCTAGTTCATACAGGGAGAAGGCTCCCCTCTTTTTCTCTGTCTTTCCAAGGGCAATACAGACCAAGGGCCTAATCCAGTGGACAAAATCAGGCCCCCAGTCTGTATTGCCCTTGCTCCAAAGGATGTTGAATTTTTTTTCTTTAAACACAAAATGAAAACTGGAAGGAATGAGAAAATCATGAACTGGTTCTTAATTCTGAGCTTTCAAATGAGATATACAAAAATGGCAAAGCACTGAATCCAGGTTGTTTTTTCAATCTTGGGCTGCCTCCTCTACAAAAGGCTATCATTGCATAAAGACCTGCAAACATACACAATGACTCTGACAGTTACTTTTCTCTTTTCTGAAATTTCAAGAATCCACCTATGAGGGGTTTCCTTCCCACCCCATTTCTAGGCAAATTGCCAGGACACTTAACGCAATCACATTGCCAGTATTTTTAGTAGAAACAACCCATTCAATATTTTTCATCTGATTTTGGGAAAGGGGGATTATTTATTTCTAGACTTGTGGATTACATCTTTCAAAGCAATTTGTGTTCTCCCATTAACAAGAAAACTTTTTTGCAACATTTTGACACTAGAGAATTTATGGGGAAAAGACGGGATTATTTCTATGTGAATGTAACATTATTCCACTTTTTTCCCCCTCCTCTTCAATAAGCATTACAAAAGCTGACATTTGCCTGAAATAATGGCACAGCAACATTGACCCAAACTATACATTTCTTCTAAATACTGGGACAGATCCTCATCTTCTATGGCCTCTTCTAAGCTTCAGTGAAAAAGCACTGATTCACCCCAACAGAGTATCTGCTCCAGTAAAACCATCGGCATTGATCGGCTCCGACAGCCTCCCTCTTTCTTCCAGCTCCAAGGCACCACTGTTATTATTCTTTCCAGCATGTGGGAAGCCACATAGTAGCTGACTGTCTTGACCTTGCTTTTGAACCAAAATCAACACATCAAGAAAGGAGTTCAATAGGGCAGTTTATCCACTCCAGACTGGTAGCCAGAACATCTACTCTTACTATTAAAGACCTATTGATCGGTCAACAGAAAGGCCAGAAGTGTGATCTAGAGTATGTCCAAACTTCTACTTTCACCTTAATAACACTCCCATGTTACTTTGTGGTATGCGGTTCTTATCAAAGACATTTCATACGAACTGCAGCGTATGACTGAATCATAGCAATTTAGGGGGAGAACAATCTGTTCAGCTTCTGCCACTGTAAAAAAGAAAAGACAAAATGATTTTTGCCTAGTACTCTTCATTGGAATCTCTCTCAAACTGTGGCAAACCACAGCTAATGCAACTTTTTTCCTTTAAATTCGCTGACGTGACTCTCTTGTTTCACCTTTCATATCTGTACAAAAAGGCAAGTCCCCTAAAAAGTTCATGTTCTTTAAAAGCATAGTGCACATACTGGCTCCTCAGTCTGATGTGCTGAATGGTGCTATTGCATAAAAGATTCAGGGCAGCAAGCAGCAGGTGAGAAGCATGGCATTTATATTTTAATTAGCTTATGCTAGGAGGGTCTTCAGAGGTTACTTAATCACTATTTGTCCACCTACATTATTAAAATCTTACCCGTGTCCTTCCATTCCAAGGTCTTTTTGTACCTCCTGAAAACTGTATTGCTAATATTGCATATAAATAAATATTCTGAAATAATATCAAGTGATAGTTTTATAAATCTGTTGAGCACCAATTGTAATTACAGAACTTTAGCAATAAAAAATTAAAAATTCTAGGAAAGTATTACTTTTGGCACAAAAAAACTGTCCCCTGGAGCTTGTCTTATTTCATAAATTTTCATCATTTGTAGGCTTCTTAAACACATTTTGAGCAATTGCATTATTTTCTAGAAATGAATTCTCAAAATGTCATGTTCTGTGAAAAAACCCCTACTGTTTTATTAATACCCTATTCCATATCACACTGATTATGTTAATAGGAATAAATATTTTTGCATAAATACTTATATCTGATTTTTTTCTACAGTGAGACAACATTATAATCTTGGGAAGTTTCTTATTTCTGGAAGCATTAATATACTAAAGGAATGTGACAACTTTGAAGTAAACTAGTAGTATGGGTACTTCTGAGGTACCTCACTAACATACGTAAATGTGTGTTGCACAGAACCTTTCAATAATACATAAATATGTATTTACGTATATGTAAATTTATATATTCCAATAATATATAAATATGTATTTTCTTTCCTGGAAGGACAGTAATTTGGCAAAGGGTTTCTAATATTTTTTCTGATATTGATTCACTCACATCCATTTGCCAATGCTAGGGAGATATAATCACCGTAAGACTTTTAAGATTTGATTGCTTGTTTGCTCCTGGAGGATTCATGTACCTGCCAGTGCCGGTCTAGACCATGTTGGCAGCTCTATCAATGAAAGGAGGAATTGTAGTACAAAATAGATTTACTTTTCTGCAGCAAGACACTTATCAGAACTGACAGGCATGCAATATTGAGGCTGTTCATGCTCCACACAATATATATTTTTCTACTGAAAAGAAACTGGAATGTTAATGAGATATTAATGCTGTTAACTGTGGGTCTGACCCCTCAGTGCTTTCACACTGGAGTAACCCTCACTCAAGCAGCCAGGTTCACTGAACCCAATGAGGTTGCTTCACTAGGACAGAATGCCGTGAAAGCAAAAACTCCCTTTTAAATTATTGTGTCCTTGCAATCCTGATTCACATGGGTAAAAAGAGTTTGCAAGATTTTGCCAAAAGAGCTCAGTGGTTTGGGTATTTTTTCCTGTTAGAGACTTACTACAGAATTTCAAAGGCAACAGCCTGAGAACGTGCTTTCTTCTCACTTTTAAATCGGAGAACATAGAATCATAGAATTGTTTAGGTTGGAAAAGACCTTTAAGATCATCAAGTCCAACCGTTAACCTAACACTGCCAAGTCCACCACTGAACCACGTCCCTAAGCACCACACGTACACTTCTTTTAAATTCCTTCAGGGCTGGTGACTCCACCACTTCCCTGGGCAGCCTGTTCCAGTGCTTGACAACCCTTTCGGTGAAGAAATTTTTCCTAATATCCAACCTAAACCTCTCCTGGTGCAACCTGAGGCCATTTCCTCTTGTCCTATCACTGGTTACTTGGGAGAAGAGACCAACCCCTACCTAGCTACACCCTCCTTTCAGTCATTGTAGCGAGTGATCAGGTCTCCCCTCAGCCTCCTCTTCTCCAGACCAAACCCCCCCAGCTCCCTCAGCCGCTCCCCATCAGACTTGTGCTCCAGACCCTTCCCCACCTTCGTTGCCCTTCTCTGGACTCGCTCCAGCACCTCAAGGTCTTTCTTGTCATGAGGGGCCCAGAACTGGACAGAGTACTCGAGGTGCGGCCTCACCAGTGCCCAGTACAGAGGAATGATCACTCCTCTAGTCCTTTGTGACATATAGCTACAAATCCTGAAATGAATGCTTTAACGCTTGGAAAGTTTTCTAAATTAAAAATAATGGATTCCTGGCAGGCATCCCATGCCAGTTTACTCACAACATAGATTTTATTACCACAATGTCACTGATCGTGATGGTAGCTGCACAATAGTCGTGAGTCAAAAAACAGTCTTATGTTGATGACTGAGCCACTGAAAATGATTTTTTCATGACTAATTTATTTTAGAGAGACAATGCTATTTATGTCATGTAAATGACTTAGAGAAATAATGCAAATGACATTGGACATTTACAAACTCATTATGATAATGGCAATCTTGAATAACTTGTAAGAGAGTTCTGCAAATTCCACTGTTATGTTTGGCATGATGATAAACTTAGTAACGATCTCTTGATCGTTTCTCTCCTCCTTTTTCATGAAATACATCATATACGGATGCAGTACCAACCTATTAAGATGCAATGCAATTTAAATTATTTTACAGAGAACCAAAAGTGCTTAATTTATACCTTTTATCATTGTAACAGAACTAGATGTACTGGATTCTTAAGCCATTAAAGCAACCTCTAGAGCTCTGCCTCTAAAACAGATTGCTCAGTTAAAAACACTTACCTTTCTTACAAAAAAATGAATCTCCATTTTTGTAATAATATAATTTTTATTCCTGCTGTAAACCAGAGATTCTAAGCAATCACAGTGTGTAATGTAAAAACTCAGAGTAGGGATGCCTCTCCTATAATATGCAATATTCAGTTCTAAATATTTATTAACTGGAGGATGCACAGTAATCTGAATCTGTGTGTAGTTAACACATCTGGCAGCTTCTGTAGCTTCTGTTTCCTCCCCCATCCCCTCAAATGGGAAACCAAGACTTGATCAAACATGTAAAACATACAGCACACTGAATACATTCAGCCCAAGGGAAAAGACACCGTGGTAAATTACCTTAAATTCAGTTTCAATGTTGGCTAATCTGGCCAATTCATTGCTTAGCTCTAAAGCAGTAAGGACAGGATCTTCACTGGAAAGAGACAAATAAGCAGCACTGGCTAATCCTTTGTAGGCGTTCATTCTCGATCGAGAGTGACTAAAGGAATCTTTCCTCTGCTTCTCAATACATTCATTGCATTTGCAAAAATAGTCATGTGGCCTTTCAATCCGCGCGCCTTTTAGAAGTAAGATGTGAACAATTTCATACTCCTGGCAGTGGGCAGCAAGTATGATAGGGGTAATGTCATGGGAGAATCGGGTTCCATCTTCGTCATAAGCATAAAAATCATCATCTCTCAGTTCCTGCTCAAGGGGACTGAGTGTGAGACGCTGTCCTTGTGCAAAGGCTGGATGGTTCAATATTGCTTCTACAATGCGCACATATCCTTTACTGATGGCTAACAAAAGTGCATCTCCAACTCGAGCAAGATTCTCCTTTTTGAGGAGGAGCTCCGTCACTTCCAGATGCTCATTCCCTACAGCTAACTGAAGGGCATTTTGTCCCATGTAATCAACGCAATTAAAGTTCAAGGTTTTGGATTCCTCCAGCATTTTTCGCACAACAGGAATGTTGCCATATTCTGCAGAATCAAGAAAGCGTTCCTCTTCTGCAGTCAGGCTGGTGCCTTTCTCATTGAACATGTAGGCTGGGCCCCGGATGGCCTGCCTTCGGCCCTTCTCCCGAAGGGTTGTGTGCCTTCGATGCATGTTTTTATAATTGCTGTTTCTCAACCTGCAAAAAAACAGAAAGGAAGGTTGGTTATATTCTGAGAGAGTCATAATCTCACATAACCTGAAATAAGGTTAGAAATGTCTAGGTATGACCAGATTTTGCTAGCTTTTTATGATCCGGGCCAGTTGTTTGAAATCATTTAGGGTACATGTGGAATAAAGAAGATCACTTTTCTGAACAACAGAAAAGTTCTCTTCTGACTTGTACACCCCTCTGGATTTCAACAAGGATACACAGTTACACAGCACATCACTAACTTGAGAAATAGCCAAAAAAAATATATGAACACATTGTTTTCCATTTTTATTGTTTAGAACTTCATCACACGGAATTTAGGAATGATATCCACAACATAATATTTCTCCAAATTACTCTTCTTGAGTTTTATTCTTGAGGGTATGAACCCTAAAGAAAGTTAGCAGGACACCCCATATCAATAGACCTTGGATCAGGCCAATAAACTATGTTCCATAAAGCTAAAAAGCATCCTTCTAGTTTTAAACACACAGTAAGAAGGACAAATGTTTTGTGTAGTCTGCTAAGATTCAGCTGGTACAAGCAAACCACCTATTCATGCACTGTTTTTTTCATGCTACATAATACTATTTTTCTGTTTCCTGATCTAGAGCGGTTTAATGAATGATTATCTAATTTTCTCACTGAAATACAGTTGGCAGCTACTCTAAATAAAGTACTCAAATCCAGGGGCTAGTCTTAAAAACACAGGAATAACTCCTGATTTAGTGTCACATCACTCCCCAGTAAGCACCTTTCAGAGAGCTACTGCAGAAAGACAAGAACATGGGTATCTGACCACAAACAAAGGGCATATCAGAAAGGGTCATTAATTTCCCCACTGATTATGTGGCTGAAATGCCTTTGCTTGGAGTTGGCAAGATGGAGACAAACTATTCTTATTCTACCTTCTCTGGAACCCTCAAAGTAAACTATGCTATGTGCAACCAGGCTCAAGGGGGAGTAAACATGCCATTGTATGAAATTAACTGAAGTCCTAAATTGATCCCTGTTTTTATAACGTTCATGTTTTGCATTCAGTGCCATCTCGGTGTTGCTCTTCTTTTTTTATTTTATTGCAGTAGGATCTCAACAAAATCATAGTTCCTCTTTTAAAGTCTAAGCATGTGGAGTTAATTGCCATCCTAAGCCCACAGAATGAGCAAAAAGGTAAAAACAACACCTCTTTCACAAAAAGCATTTACACTCAGTCCAACAGCAAGTCCTAAATCACTTGGGTAAAATTTTCAGGAACCTCTAAGCTGTGGTGGGCAGATGTAACAAATAAGCAGGTGTTAATGCTCAGTGGGTGGCAAAGGTTCAGCCTTCCACTCTCCATCTGTTCTCCAAGTCAGTTTTGACCTTCAGTCAATGAAAAGTTCATGTGTTGCTCTGAAAAAATACTACTGGAGTTTGAAAGTGCGTCATGAATGATGAGAGGGAAAGGTGCCAGGAGACAAAGTGGAGTAGATACACTGCCTTCAATAATATGTAGTAAAAGAGTAACGGACTCAAGCAAAAACTCAGGAGAACAAAAGGTATCAGAAACCCAAAATATCTAAAGTACCAGAAAGTTCTCAAAGTAGCTGTTCTTATGGAACTAACATATACATATGCATCTATTGTTTTAATTTATCAGGTTTTTTTACTGACCTAGAACATAAAGCTAGTACTAAAGAGTTTGAAACAAATTTTACAGCAATTTTTTAACAACTACATTAAAATTTAAACAAATCCTAAGAAAGCAATTTTGTGACCATACATGATTGAAAGAAAGGTTCATAATTAAGAACCTCTTCCCCTAAGCTTTGATGCATCAGTATAACAACTTAATAAAAGCTGGAAGAAACTGAACGTACCATCCCATGCTCCACTGAGAGATAAAGTGCTATATGAATCTTAAAACTAATATCTTCCAATGTGGTTGAAAGTTGAAGAAGTACACAGACATGATGGACATGAGAACAATGAAGAAGATATGGTTAAGCAAATTAATTCCCAAGATTGCATGAAGTTTTCTATAAGACAAAACAGTAACAGCTAAAAAAATATAGCATTAATATGTCTAACACTGACAGAGAGACAGGTGCCTAAAGCAGCAAAACGCCTGGGATAAAATTGGGGCCCCTTTGAAGTCAACAGTACAAGTCCCATTGATATCAGTGGAGTCCAAATTTTGCAAACACTTGCATGCGTACACACACACACACACACACAATGTCCCCAGCAATGAGCTTTCATCTCAGAGGTAGGCCCAATGAGGCCAAGAGGACTAATGTGTGCTTAAAATGAAGTATTTAACCATATGCAAAAGTACTTATCTGAACTGGAGCTCATGTCCTTAGCTATTCAGGACAGCATTTAAGTTTTAAACCTGCAGTGAAGTCTTACTGAGTTCAAGTAAGAACTATACACACAAATAAACACTTCTGAACCATGACTTTGTTAAATGGGGACCTCTAGTAACAGAAAGCACTTTACACATTTGCAGTCTTGGGATTTTCTGGATGTTAAATTAAACCTCTTGGAATGTTAAGCAACTTGAAAGGATGAGCTGGTGATGACTTAAGCAGCTGTTGCTGGGATCAAGTGGAAACCAACCCAGCTCCTGTAGCTGCTCAGTGCTGACCCATGAGTGTGACAGGGTTGCGCATGCCTAAATATTTTAGGGCAGTCAACCACAATAGCTGCTTCAAGCTGGAGCAATTCCACTGGGCTTTTCTGATGTTCAAAACCCACGTATGGTAAGATATTTGGCAACCTTATATTTGCTGTTATCTTTAATGGTCAGTACTGTAAGCAACTCAGACAGAAATACGGATTGTTTCCAGCAGGGAGGAATCTATTAGATATTTTGCCTGATGTTCAAGTATAATTCTTGATACTTTGGGGTTTTTTTCTTAGAAAAGCTTTTCTTTCCTGGTATGTTATTAACTCTAAAGGAGAACCCAGACAGGTGGGACAGGTAACGATATAATCACACCCAAAGTAAACATAAAACTACGTAAAATATTACCATTGGCCCTGTTCTAAGATTTTTGCCTGAGAAAGGAGGTTAGAGTTTGGCCTAGAGCTAATCCACACCTGTTTGTTTTATATGTAATAATGTGCCAAAAAAAAGACCTTCATTTCATTTTCTTCAGTTCAGAGAGAACACTGGTTTCATACACTGCTTCTAACAACAGAAAATGCATCAGAAAAAGAGGGAATGGAAAAACATACCTGCCCTCCAAAAAGGTAATTACTATAGCACATTTATCTTGCAGTAAATGTTCTGCAGGGATGCCCCTGCAGCAGAGAGTTCATCCCCACAGCCTGGAGGTAAGGGCAAGAGCACCATAATTCAGAGGGCTTCACCTCAGATGAATTATGACCCCCAGTCTTGCTCAAGAGCAGGGAAGATCAATATCTCAGCTTCTGCACTTTATCATCTTTATAGAGAACAAGAGATGAATAAAAAATTATGCTTTTAACTTTGAATAATTTCACAAGAAATGCTCAGCTATCAACTCCTGTTCTGAAAATAAAGTTATAATTACGTTTGACCTGAGCACTGAATCGTGATAGAGAAGTGGTAGTGCAAAGAGCAATATGTGCAGTAGCTGAAGATCTTGGAATCTGAACCCTACTCTAAAGTCATGACTGTACTTGGTGTCTTTTTCTGTTCTGCTTTTCAGTTATGTGCAGACAAGTTTAGAACTAATCATATTTACTGAGAGTGTGTAATGTGCCCTCTTAAAAAAAGTAATTGTAACTTGATAGCATTTATCTTAGCATTTTTGTTTAAAGGTGCTTTGCATTGAAATGACTCCGTATTTGCATATTTTATTGAGACAGCTAGTGATCAAACTCATCAGGCACTGCAATTAAATATTGTGTTTTTCTAGGAAAAAATGCCAATGTATGCAGTGTTGTTGGAGAGAAAATGGTCTGGGAAAAGAAAAACAAAAATTTCAGGGCCTAAGTACTGCTTGCCGCAAAGCGCATCCAGCTTTACACAGCTGAGGGAGCCATAAGATGTCTGGGCTCCTGTTGTGAATGCAGAAGAAAAGCAACTTCTGAAAGGTGATTCAGCTCTTAACAAACCTTCCTCTGGGAGCATCTCAGTTTCTAATTATAGTGGCTAAGAGTAGGGTCTCTCAACTTGCCCTGACGGTACTAGGTGCTGGGATGCTCAACATCTGAAAAGGGAACATGGCGTAACATGAGATTTGCTCTTAATGTGGTGTCACTGAAAACACTGTTGAAGCTGAAACTCTCCTTTTTGCAACCACACTCTCTTAGCTGGTCTGAGTGCCAGACATGTAGGAAGGAAGCTGGGCTGCTTCATATTGAGCTTACCCCAGTAAATGTCCTTTCTCCTTGATCCTCCTTTCCACAGAGCTCCAGACTATGCCACACAGGACCTTCTGCTGCCCTCTAGTCCCACATAAGCACCTAGGGACGGGCAGGGCTACCACCTACAACTAAGGCTTGGAGAAAATGTTCAAAGGTCTAAATACCTTAAAAGGCTAAATTGGTGTTTTTATACAAGGCTTTGGACCAGAACTTTAAAAGCATATAGGACAGGATGAATAGTATCTGCTTGAGTTTTTAATGCAGCTGAAGTCTGAACAGGTATTGAAATCAACGGGTATTAGGTACTGCAGCAATTCTGGAATTCTCAGGTGATGTCAACCTTTACTTGTCTTAAAGCCTAAAAATTGAGCAGAGCATTGAGAAAGGCAGCTTTAGGAACTTGCGGTCTCTGACTACACTTTGGGTTTGCTTTCACTCAATGGAGAGAGGTTGTCAGGAGTCTGCCTGTGCCCTTTCAGTGGTCCCCTTTGTCCAGAAACTATGGAAGAAACTTAGGATACATAGCCATTACTATGCCCCACGTTGGGTAAAGCGACTGTCAGAGTAGGCTTTGATGAGACGTTGAGTCTGTCTTGTTGAGAAGGAAATTTAAGTTTCTGAAAGGCATTTTGAAAGCATT